CAGGGAGTTCTGCATCGACCGGAACAGATGGTAATCGATGGTGCCAGGTCTGATCTGTGTGGCGGATGAGGCAGGACTTTCCAGCCCAATTCCTCAATTTTTTTCTAGAGTGATTTTCGCCACATGTGGATGAGCGTTGTCGTGGATAAATTTTGTCGACGTCGTTTCGACACTTTGAAGACGCAGTGCTGGATCCATGCGGTTCACACTGGAATTGTTTTGCAGATGTCCCGTAACGTCTGACCGAATTCCGGATTTTCAAAGAATCATCACCTTTTGCTATTCCACCAACACGAGCATCACCTTTTTGCCGCGTATATCAGCGTTTTGGAGGGTCACTGGAGTCTAACCACTGTCCTTTTCTCGTTGCGTTATCGAAGCAGACCCTTTTCTCATTTGATGTAATAATAGAGTCGAAAAACCGCTGTTCTTGGAGCGACGAAGAAGAATTCCGGCCATTGCCACTCGTGTTGCCTTGTTTGCGTCGCTCAGCTGGTGCGGCACCCGCTCTTCAACTTATTTTTTTTTTTCCAAAAAGCCAAATTTAGAATGGACAAAAACATATCAAAAAGAGCCACAATAAAAAATCTCTTTCTATAGAGAAAAACCTCGTCTCCAAATTCTTCTATTAGTAGGAATCGAGAAACAATAGACAAATGTTTAAAAAATTCATAACGACCGCATTCTTTCCGGACAACTAAATAGGTTGTTCGGAAAGCTTTTCAGGCGTTTTTTAAATACCATTTTTTGTACATCATTGACTGATTAAAAACACTCATTCTCCCTTGCGGTCCCATAGTACACCTTGAAGAAAGTCTTTGCCCCTACTCTGGGGTGGGTATAATTGCCGTTTCACCATTGCTTGATAAACCCCCTTTTCCCAAGACTTTTTGAAGCATGTCAAAAGAGCAACTTCGGACGATATTTTTCTTCGACTAAAAATTGGGTCAATCCGCAATCGAGAGCTCAACAAATTAACCAGGTGTGGGGGCCCAATAGTGCTAGAGAAAGCACCGTGCGGCAATGGTTCGACAAATTTCGTTCTGGAGATCTCAGCCCTGAAGATGAACCTCGTAGCGGTCGACCTAAACATAATAACCGAGGATTTGAAGGAGGGTTTGGATGGGCTGACCATCCAAACAGTTCGAGAGATTGAGAAAAGCTAGGCGTTGACAAATCCAGTGTTGCAGATGGTCTGAAACGCATTGGGAAGGTGAAAAAAAAACTCGATAATGGGTGTCCCCACAAAAGAGTGACCGGCCCAGAATTTGCCCGTCTCGGGAGGTTTCTTCTTGTCTTTTTGCAACAGAAGACGACAGGTTTTTGACCGAATTGTCACCTGTGCATGAAAAAAATGCGATCATGGTATTATAAAGGAGAACGTTACGGACGTAAGCTGGACTTTACCGACGAACCAATCTGAGGCAATTTCCAAAGCCGAATCTTTACCAAAAAAGGTCATGGTCACAGTGTGGTGGTCATCGGCTGGTGTGATCCACTATAACTTTTTGTCACCAGGCCAAACCATCACAGCAGAGTCCTACTGTGAAGAAATCGACGAAATGTACCGAAAATTGCGTCAGCTGCAGCCAGCACTTGTCAACAGAGTGGGTCCGATTCTTCTGCATGACAACGCCCACCCACACGTTTCACAAGTCACTATCCATAAATTGAACGAATTGGGTTGAAGTTCTACCTCACCCGCCATATTCTCCAGACCTTTCACCAACCGACTATCACCTTTTCAGACATTTTCAGAACTTCCTTGCTGAAAATACTTCATCAATTAAGACCAGGCAAAAAAGACCTTCGCAGATTTCGTGGATTCTCGACCACCCAGTTTTTCCTTTGATGGGATTTATCAACTGGTTTCACATTGGGTAAAAATGTGCTGATTCGAACGGTGCCTATTTCGATTAAATCCGACGAGTATTAGAAAGTTATGTTCGTTTGAGTGAAGAACTCAAAACGCCGAGAACTTCCCGGACAACCTAATATGAAAAGCGTATTTAAAGGGCGTTTTGAGGATTACAATTTTGAAACGTCAATCGTCAATTTATAAGTGTTAATTGAATTTTATTATGAGTCGTTGGAAATATTCCACCTTAACAGGTGCATACTGTCCTTATTAAGACTGCGAGAATTTAAATGAAAAGTATTGATGGACAGTATTGCAGTACTTAATATATACGTATCTGGTGAAGGTCTTCTTTTGTTGAACTCTCGCAGGGTTGGTAAAGGATTTTATTGCGATTTACGGTACCGTTTCGGCTGAAACCCTCTATTCGGACCCTGAATAGATAAAAAAAAAAATTTGTGACTGCTCGACCAAATGGCTTTGCTTCTTTACTGATGTTCCCCACCAAGACAGGTCATCACCCAGTCACAAGGGAGACCACTTACCTTAACCCTGGGCAATCTTCAAGACCAGCGGGAGGCTGGTTGCACGAAATCACATGCTCCTCAGGCAACGCTCTAGGGCAACGCCTCTGTTTAATTCACCTGTCAGCTATGACGTGAGCGACTCGATTTGGAAATGTTTCTCAACGACGAATTGAAATTTGTTTTTTTATCTGTTGCAACTAGACAAGCATTGCAACCCTTCTACATGCAGCGAGCAAGCGCTTATGACTTAACAGCTCTTCGCGGGTTTCCATTTTTACCTCATCTTAGACGAGAAGCCCTGCGACACTTTTAACGTGATTTCACGCTCGGTAACTCTGTATAGGAAGGTGCAATCTTTCAATCAGCTAGGAAAACATCATTGAATCCAGGACTCTAGGGCGACCATCTTCCCGGATCTGCCTCAAAAATCCAAGGCGCCACAGGGTGCCAAGAAGACGGCAACTGATTTCAGACAATTGCATCATGAACTCAACAGGTTTACAGCAGGAGCGGCTGGTACATTCTGCTGCTGGTAAAAAAAGTAAGAGCAGCCACCCATCGAATCCATCCTCCTTCGCGATAAAGAAGTTAGACAGTTCCTCCTCAGAACATTAGAGCATATCAAACGCCCGAGATAGTAGGTCGGAAGTAAGAAATAGCCGCCGTACATCTCATCCATCAGTTCTGCCTTGCTCGCTTTTCGAAACTGCCTCTGCAAGGCAGGATTAGATGCTTAGCGAGGCAGGATCAATCACCTGCGCTTCACCCAGTTGCTCAAGCGGGCGCCAAGAACGTCTCCATTCGTGTGCTGAGTTCCCAGTGGGTTTTCTGTACTCGAGTAACACGATGGACCCATTCGTTCAGAGCTTTCACCAAGTCTGACCATGGGCGTTCGTCCATGTGTTCGTCTGACACCCCGCGAGATCCAGTCAGGAACGGCTCCGGTCCAACGATCTTTGAAACGCATGACGTGCCCCACCCACCTATCCTCGAAACCGCTGATAAACGCAGAAAATCGACAACAACAAGTTGAACTTTTATTCACAGACATATTGAGCACGTTCCATTAATGAAATGGATTGGAAAATTACCTCACACTTTAGCTTTTGCTGCATATGATTAAACTGCGTCACACAGCTGGACCACGTCCGACAAAAAGTACACGTAGCATACAACGAAAATGGAATCATTGAAGTTCGACTAATGTATACACTACACATTTTAACACCTGTACTATCGCAACCTATAGGTCAACAGAGCAAGTTACAATTTCAACCAGCCAAACGAATGAATATTCGTTTTTTCTATACAAGAACAACATTGAACAAAAATTCGGAGGCAGCTGGTTTTTTGCGCACTTTCGAGCAGCGGGAAGGGTGCATACTTGCTGGTCGTCAGCCCAGCTTCCCTATACATGGAATAGACAGGACATATCCGTTAAGCGCGAAGTATGTCCTCAATATGCACGAGTTGCTACAACGAAAGAGGAGTGGAAGAAACATGAAGGCAGAAAGTGCTGAATTTCCCACCTCCCTCCTCCACCCCACCCCCGTTCATCCTACGGGTCAAATCCCGTTTCACCTTGCATCCTTCACAGATACCGTTTGCGGCAGTTGGATGGGCCTGGCACCGTTCTGGAATGTCGGAGCGGAGCCACGGAAAGATGTCATGAACGCGCCTTTCCTCTCCTCGCATCCAAGTCGGTGAAGGAGGGGTATGTGACAAGACAATCGCAGTACGCCGCGCTGGTCTGACGCCGCACTCGACAGCAAAATTTTCCTTCCTGCTCGTTTGAATCTGAGTGTTAAAGGAACGTGAAAATTTGGGAAAAAAAACGTCATTTATTCTTGTCTCAACTTTTTTCATATGAGCTTCGCCGCATAAGAGGTTCGCTGCTTCGATCGACAAAATGGGGAAATGCCGCTCACCGCGCGCGACGAGGCCACAATTTACGATTGTCTAATCCGACTTCTGAGGAGTCTGTTAGAAGGATGGGTACGCATATGATCCCGCTTACAAGTTCCGACTACGGCAGTCCTGAACGTTATCCGCGAGGATAAGCTAATTAGGACTGGAATCGTTGAGAGGGCGAACAGCCCTAGTCACGACTGGCAGGCCTTTTCTTTCAGGGCAATCAGTCTTCCGAGAACCTCCACGTTTCTCGGGGAGGGGGGAGGGGAGCCTAGGCTCAGAAACTTTTGCATTTACTAGAGTATTTGAGGGCACGAAGAATTCACAAGAGCAGAAAGCCTCCTTGGCGTGCATTACCTCACGGAAAAATAAGCCGAGAGACTGTTACATTATGGGCCTGTAAAAAAACGGCTTCAATAGTAGCGGAATGGTCGCGCTGCTTTCCAAAGTGTTTGATACAAAAAAATACTGTAGGGTACATTTCAACTAAATGCTGAAAGCGTGGCAATTGGAATTATGTGCAATAGTGGTAGTTCAGAACGACAGAAACTAAATTCAGAGATCCTCTCTCACGAGGTATTACAGCTCAGAATGGAAAAATATAGGAGATAGGTAGGGTATTGGCCTCGAATCACGCCGCCACAACCAGTATAAGTGAACAAGCCAGCCATGAGGTCATAGATAGTCGTGTAGTGACTTGTGTCTCAAAGAACAGCTGCATAGGGTGAATTCCAGTCTCTATCAAAAATCGCCTGTAGTTGCTGAACAACACCCTTTCCTTCATGATTAGACATGACGACACCTACACCTGCGGTCGAGATGAAATAGTCACCAGCCCAATTGGACGTTCCTGAAAAAAAGGTTAAAATCAGGTTCTAGAGCAACGAAATTGATGCTATCCATCATGACAATTATTCAACGGAAATGGACGAGAAAGATGTTGCGTTCGGACGCAGAGCGGAAAACGTCAAAGGATGGCGCACGTTCACGAGATCCAAAATCATCTGCAAAACTTCCACTGGAACAGACGGTAGGAGCATACAATTCAACGTACGGTACCATTCGGTAATGTTTCGAATAGCACGTGGTAGACATTATTGATGTATAGTGCGAACTCACTCGTGCACTCGGTGCGCGGTTCAAGAAATCGAATCGCCGATCGGCTTCCACCAAGGCCAATCGAAGCCTTCTACCGTTTCCCCTCCCCGTGAAAATTGTATGAGTTGGGTGAGCCTCGGCGACTATGCCATATTAACGATATAGCAATTCACTTAATCACCGAACGAATCTCAATGGAAGTAGAAATACGTGCCCGCAAGCCCGAAAAGGGGACTGATCTTATGACAAATTACTGGTTCTTCAACTCGCAAAAAGTAGATTTCCAGAAATTTGCGCTCTTCCTGTAATGCTGCGTTAGTGCTACTGAATTGTTTTTGGGAAAATTATGTGCACACGATGATTAAAGGTAGTAGTTCCGCGCTGTTCGTAATGGGTGGAGGCAATCAATAATTGTGCTTTCCTAGTGCTCTTACACTTTCCGTTCTGCGTCTAACGCCGCATCTTCTTTTTCGTCTAATTCCTCGAAATGCGCTCCCTGCCTTCATCGTCTCAGCGTTAAAAACCCCGCTATCGGGCGGGACATAGATAGCGAACAATGACCAATTTCGTCTGACCTACTGATGCCACGCCTTTTCTGGCAATGACTTCAACTTCCTTGGCGAGAAAGGTGTGAAGCTGACAAGTACCCCGCACAGGTCGAACGAGTTGGAAATCGCGGGTCGGCTCCAGGAAGAGACCAATGCCTTCTAACCCGCTTTAGAAGGAGAGGTCACAAAGTGAGAGGTGGTAAAATGGTTGAGGCTGCCTTGGAAAACAGAAAACTGCACTGTTCGAATATTCAAATATTATACTTATAGATATGATTAGCTAGATTGACATTTAATTAGCTTTTCGATATAGGGATCGAACTACACAACATAATCCGCTGCCCGATCGGTGACCATATACTGTTTGGTTAGCACGTGCAACGGTATTTTTTTGTTTTGCTCCTCCGTCGATGGTACAATGAATAAATTCTTAAAAAATAATTTTATACCATATCACCCTTCCCTGACCTCCAGCCAATTCGCTCTTTTCAACCAAGCATACTCTAATGAAATTGCAGGAATACAGAACATACCACTGTGATACTTCCTTTGCCCCGTAATGTCTTCGGGAGCCCATCGTTGATGGCGACTAGGCTTCTGAGAAAGGCCAGCTCGGCAGGACGAGAGTGACTCCATTGGCTGACAAGAAGCTTCACATCTACACCTCGGAAAGCCGCTGAGCGAAGTGCATCGTCGATATCGGGCCAGTAGCTAAACACAACATGTGATTCCATGAGGATACAAGAATTACTGGTAGACCGACCAACGTCACAGAAGTTCTGCAGCTTAAATCCACCCCTGCCCCCCCCTCCCGAAAAGCAGCACGCGCCTTGTTGCAGTTTAAAAGGTTCTTAGATTAATATGGACCTAGAGAAATGAAAAATCTAACCTGTTATTACTTCCCATGTACAACGTTTGGGGAATAAGATCCATAACAGATACACAGACACTGCGATGAGCAGACGAAATCAACGTGATAATCGTTTCTAAGTCATGTTCACGACCAGTTGATGAATGGTGCCGGCGAAACCTGGAATGAAATGAACATTATAATAAAACATACGATGCCTGAAAAAAACTTGCGCGATGCGGTCGAAAGGCATTGGAACGGTAGACGGCGAGGCGGCGCAGTTTGTCGACGAGGGGGCATTTTGCACTTTTGCTACCTCCCATCGACGTGTCGGCCTATCTAGAAGCCTCTTCTCGAGTTGACAGGTTTTAACAAGATGACTTGACTACCTTGTTCCAGCTTCACAAGAGTTCACAGGTTTCGCCAGAGTGAAACATGTAAACCGGAACTGAGGAAGCAATGATACTACAAAATGCCCCCCGTCCGACAAACAGCGCCCAGCGCGGCTTGTACAGACTACCTTACGAGGACCTGTAATTTCCATTTGGCCCATTATGACCTCTTCACAGCTTCAGAAGAGTTTGTAGGTCCAAAGCAGAACCTGCTAGGTAACATGAACTAACAAGAGGAACTAGGAGAAGTGCTAAACGCCCCTTCCAAGTAGAACCAAGACAAAAAACGTTATCAAGCAAATGCGACCGAATATCGTTCATTGCCATTTCTAGGTGTTGGAAGGAAGAAAAGTCAGTGGAGTTGGTTCTGAGCATGGCGCCGGTATGGAAATCCTGTGGATAGTGCCAGCCTTGGACATAAATTACCGCTGTGCTCACAACCACACTCCCTCTCCAACTTCTAGATATACGTTGTATATTAGCGAGAACCTTATCAACATTCAACTAATAAGGAAAATAAAACGTACGGATATGAAAACATCTGTCCCCACTGTGCTCCAGTTGAATTTCATAGGCGACTTGATATTGTAAGATGTTTCGAAAGAAGACGGCCATTTATGAGGAATTTTAGCGTCCTTCTGAAGAAGAATCATTCGCTTAAATTCAGTCAACAACGCACTTTCATACCTGCCCAAGATGCCAATACACAGCAAAAATTCGGTTCAAATCAGCAGCCAAACATGGACAATCCTGGATGTATAAACCTAACTCTTTCACCTGAAAAAAAAACTTATAGGCAGGGAGAACGAGAAGGAATGAACGTCGAACCTCCGCCAGTGACTTCCAATCCATATTTGCTGAACCTATATAGACATGGGTAAGATCCACTATGATAAACTTTGTGTGCAGAACACCTGAGCCCATCAACTTTTTAAAATCTAACGTGCGGACCTGAAAAGAACTTGTTTTTTCATACTATATTACGGATCACTTTCTAGAATATACCTTAGCTAGTCCTTGATCAGCAAGCCATTGGGAATCGTGATTATCTGACAGACCTTTACTGACGTCTTGAGCAATCCGAATCTATAAATGAAACCGTTCAGTCAAAAGTTGAAGGCACAACCTTCAAAATGGATCTCGCTTCCAATCACGTGGGCATCGCGCTACTACTTAGACTACTTACTCTTGACACGTTCAAATTATGGGCAGAAATTCCATCAGAGTGGAGTAAGCAATCACTTCACCTCAGATTGGCACGCTCTTCATCTTCAGTCGCAAATATGGGTAACGCCTTAACCGTGGTCAACATTTTGCCGAAGCCGCGCCCTATCGAGTCGAAGTATACAGTCCTGTTCCTGCGGATGATGGGGCGTGTCAGAGGAGGCTGGGTTTGGTGACGCCAAACCCATCTCCCCTCACACGCCCCAACATGCGCGGCGAACAGACAGCGAGAATTCTTGCTGGAATTCTTGAAACTGACCCTTTTTGGAACAAAGCAATGAAAATCGATGGTTAGTAAACAAGTTCCGTGTAGTACTTATTGGGTTCATATCCGGTTACGTGTGCTTATTGGAAGCTCAGTCCATACTACGCTCGTAATAGGGCGCTCATAACACGGCGGCGTTCATACTTTGCGACACTGAAGAGTCGCGGAATGAGGAGAATCGGAGAGTGCGGGTAAAAGATACGTATCGATCAACCCTGTCCCACTAAAGGATCGCAGAATTGGGGATCGGAGAAATCAACTCACAAGTACAACATTCTCTTTGGCAGATTTTGGAGACCTAAACAGACAGGTATACTATTTATCCGTTTTTAGCAGATTTTCTCGAGATTCCTTCATCCTCTCCTCTCGAGTATTACTCACTCCTCCTACCAACTCTCCATGTCACAATGGAAGCAGTAGTCTTGAAAAAGCAACGAAATTCAGACATAAAACCTTACATCAACTCCTCTCCGTCCAGCGTCCACGAGGTCAGAAAAGACCTGTCGTCCATATTCCGCTGTAGGATACTCCGATGAGTTCAAATTCCAGTACAGGGCAGCAATGTGGATAGATTTGTTGGCAGTGTTGAACAAGTCCTGCCAAGCTTGATGTGTGTGTCGGCCTGAATCGGGCCTCCAGTAAAGTTCACCAACCCAGTGGGGATGCTCTCAACGTATTCAACCCTGCAAAATATTTTATCTACCGGGATTCCAAGAAACAAGAAGCCCTCTGTAAATCACCTGCACGAGTTGCATATAAAGACATATGTTAGCTTCCGATGTGAAGCAAATTGCATATTGAAAAATAATACCATAGCATAACAGAACAGCAGAAAAGCGACGATCCAAGCGAATATGCTGACCAGACGCATCCTTCAAGGGAATGAATCACTTACTGTTT